CTGGGTGTAGCAAAACTACCAAGGATGGAGTAAGCCTTCATTTGTTTCCAGTAAATCCGAAATATCGGAGCATTTGGAGAGCCAAAGTGAAGGTAAATACCAGAGCAAAGTGGTCCGGGCCCAGTGAGTTCGCGGCCCTCTGAGCGGCCCTCGTGAGTGAGTTCGCGGCCCTCGCTGCACTTTGAGCCGTCGTGCTTTGATGCTGGTCTGTACAGCAACTTGGGCATGCCCCTAAAAAAACATCGAGTCAGTGTCTGAATCATTAGAACTCTGATTCGAATCGGACGAATCTGTACCATTTTCATCGGATTCGCTAAGGGAAGAAGAGGAAGAGTCTTCGGAACTTTCACGGTCATGACGGTCGTCGTTGTGTTCATTCGACAACGGTGGCACTGTGGCACGTCTGTGTGTTCGTACGTGTGCATATAATGCCACGTACGGGTACGTGGCGGCTGCACATACACACAGCACAGTAGCTTCGCTAATCCGTCTTGTACCCAGACGTCATTTACGGGCCCTGGATTTCTCTGCCTTTGTTTACGTCATGAACAGCGCCCTCATTTGGAGTTGCCGCGAAAATCAAAACGGGGGGGTTCAATTTTGGACGGCAAATTACCACACTAAACGTACACCAGAACCAGTTCTGCTTTTAATTCACATTTAATACACATAAATGAATGTACATGCAATAAATTCAGAATATTCTCTTTCTGGACAGACTGTTTCGTACCATAAGGCACTCATCAGCAGAATGACGAAAAATAGAATACAAGTAGCATCTTACCTTATTTCGAATCAAGCGCGCGCACGCGTTACGTCATTGAAGTTAGTACGCATTTACGTCACTGAAGTAAGAACACATCTGTCTCGATGCCTGCACTTGGAGACGATTTCGCTTCTCTTATTCAGTGTACCTAGATCTGGCCTACATATGATTATGTACTTCTCTGCTATACACAAATTGCATCTCTTGTTTACGTTAGAGTATGGCAGTGCTTTCAGAACTATGTCCCATTTGATTTCATAGTCTTTCCCTTCGTCCTTTAAGTCCCATATATGTTTACTTAGCTCTGTTTGCGCCCTCTTGCTCTCGGATCTGAATGACTGCTTGTGGTTCGCCAGTCTCGCCTTGAAGGTTGTGGACGTCAGCCCGACGTATGCCTCCTTCCTGCCTTCGCTCGTGACGGTGGCCTGGTACACTATGTTCTTGCTGAGGCACTCCCCGTTCAGCGGGCATTCGGCATTGCGGGGACAACTGCATGTTCTACCACCGACGTCGTCCTCCTGTTTTACCTTCCGTTTGTTGATTGACTGGATCGTTGCCTTCATGTTCGGCATGCAGCTGTACGATAACTTTACTGTGTTCCGGTTGAGCACTTTGTGAAGCTTATGTTCCTTGGGGAAGCATTTGTCTATTATCTGAAGGAATTTCTTTCCAATGTTGGTACGTACGTTCTTGTTGTATGGCGGGTTGTACCATGTCACCTCCCTTTTTCTAGTCCTTTTCCTGGTGTTATTGCCCGGTGTGTACGTCAGTCGATACTTGTGCCCGCTTTTTTGCAGAGCCTCCTGGTAGGCCGGGGCAGCTTTCTCGAATGCCTCCTTGCTCGACGAGATGTTGGAGAGTCGCTTGTTGATTCCCTCTGGTATCTGTTTGATGACGGCGGGTGGATGGTTTGACTGGACATGTACATAGAGAGGTACATTACCTGGTTTCATGTATGGCTTGTACCCTCCCGTTCGCAGGTCTAATGTGATGTCAAGGAAGTTTACTGTTGCCTTGTTGGCTTCGATCGTTACCTTTAAGTCATTTTCCCGGAATACTTGGCATATTTCCTTCTTGATGTTTTCTATTTTCTTGGGGGTCTCCTTGAATACTGCCAGACCGTCGTCCCTGTATAGTCCCACTCTATTTCCGTACTTTGGTTTCAAGATCGACAGCAGATATGCTACGACCAGCTCGCATGACTCCGCGCCGTCGAAACTGCCCATCGTGACATCGAATTTGCTGTCTGCATTACGCTTTTTCCACGGTACCTGGTCGTTGAATACCACTGTCTGTTTTGCGTGGATGATGATATCTTTCTCCTTGCTGCTAATGTTCTCGTAGTTTTCCGCGAACCCTAGGGCCTTCAGGAGAAGCTTTTCCGTTATCGAGGGGTAGAACTCCACAATGTCGAAATTTATGAAGCTCGATTCTTGCTTGTTTGGGATTTTCTTATACCAGTCCAGTACGGCGTCCGTGCTTTTCCACAGGTTGAATCCTGTCGCGCTTATGACTTTACCGACGATTCTGTCGAGGATCACTTTACTTATATGTCCTATCTCTGATTTGGTTGGGCTGATTAGTCGACATGATGGTTTGTTATCGAAGTTGTCCTTGTGGTCCTTCAAAGTAATGAAGACTTCCCTCTCGGCCAATTTATCTATGCGGTCGCCCAGTCCAAGACTTTTAGCAATTCTTTTCGCTTCGCGATTGATTTCCGCTACTTCCTTTTGCTCGGTTTTCTTGTATGTTTTGGTGACATTCGCCCGGACAAGATTTACATAGTCATCTTTTTCCATCTTGTAATAATTTGTAGTCTTATCAGCCTTGACGGTAAGCTTATCATCATTCCTAATCGTATTTATGTCTTCGAAGACATAAATACGAACAAGGCAACAGTAAACTTCCTTGACATCACATTAGACCTGCGAACGGGAGGGTACAAGCCATACATGAAACCAGGTAATGTACCTCTCTATGTACATGTCCAGTCAAACCATCCACCCGCCGTCATCAAACAGATACCAGAGGGAATCAACAAGCGACTCTCCAACATCTCGTCGAGCAAGGAGGCATTCGAGAAAGCTGCCCCGGCCTACCAGGAGGCTCTGCAAAAAAGCGGGCACAAGTATCGACTGACGTACACACCGGGCAATAACACCAGGAAAAGGACTAGAAAAAGGGAGGTGACATGGTACAACCCGCCATACAACAAGAACGTACGTACCAACATTGGAAAGAAATTCCTTCAGATAATAGACAAATGCTTCCCCAAGGAACATAAGCTTCACAAAGTGCTCAACCGGAACACAGTAAAGTTATCGTACAGCTGCATGCCGAACATGAAGGCAACGATCCAGTCAATCAACAAACGGAAGGTAAAACAGGAGGACGACGTCGGTGGTAGAACATGCAGTTGTCCCCGCAATGCCGAATGCCCGCTGAACGGGGAGTGCCTCAGCAAGAACATAGTGTACCAGGCCACCGTCACGAGCGAAGGCAGGAAGGAGGCATACGTCGGGCTGACGTCCACAACCTTCAAGGCGAGACTGGCGAACCACAAGCAGTCATTCAGATCCGAGAGCAAGAGGGCGCAAACAGAGCTAAGTAAACATATATGGGACTTAAAGGACGAAGGGAAAGACTATGAAATCAAATGGGACATAGTTCTGAAAGCACTGCCATACTCTAACCTAAACAAGAGATGCAATTTGTGTATAGCAGAGAAGTACATAATCATATGTAGGCCAGATCTAGGTACACTGAATAAGAGAAGCGAAATCGTCTCCAAGTGCAGGCATCGAGACAGATGTGTTCTTACTTCAGTGACGTAAACGCGTACTAACTTCAATGACGTAACGCGTGCGCGCGCTTGATTCGAAATAAGGTAAGATGCTACTTGTATTCTATTTTTCGTCATTCTGCTGATGAGTGCCTTATGGTACGAAACAGTCTGTCCAGAAAGAGAATATTCTGAATTTATTGCATGTTTATAGCTCTACAGAGATGTATCGAGCACTGTGAATTGTGATAGAAGACGATTTCATTGGACATAAATGAATGTATATATAAAATAAAATATGTTATGAAAATTTTGGACTGCATGTTTCCTTTAAGTAAATTACTTGTATGTCACTTTGTCAGCCACGAGCATTGCGTTATGATCGATCGTCTTTTTGCCTAGCGTCCTCTTGCGGCGAACTAAACTTTTTTAGCACAGCACGCGCCACCTAGAATTTTGCCCGCTACTTTTTCAACTATGCGATGGGCGTAGCGAGCAGGCGAGTTTAACATTCCACGCGCTTTGTTCAAGTTGGATAGCTGGCATTCCTGGCGTTTCATATAGTTTTCTTGTAGGACTAGGTCCAAAATATTGTTGATTCCGTTCCAACTCTGCTTTGGGTTGACATCTATCTGGCTGGTTCTGCCCCTGCTTTGCGACCAGCATTTGTAGCGAGCATTGCACACTCCACTTTTTCTGCAAGTTTTGGGTGCGGCTCCACGATAGCAGCAATATAATTTTATATCCGGCGTTGCCGGCATTGCATTTTGCAATATTTTGCTGCTTCTACATCGATTTTAACATCGAGCACGGAGAAGACATGAACGTAGATCATCCCAAGTGATCCTATCCTTGGAGTGACAGTTCAGCCTATATATTTTCCCTTTTGACTGTCGTTTTATATACCCAAAGTTCTTATATACTATCATTTAATTGTAAACACCTGATAATTTGTATATATATATTGTCTCATATTGTGTTGTAAATAAAATATTTTGATATTGTTGAGACAAACAAAAAACTTTGCTCCACCCAAATTATTTTAAATTAGTGGAACCACTCGGTTGGGAGGAGAGTGAGCCATTTAAATTAAAATATCGCTCGCCCCGGTTACAATTGCCATCCCATTTACACCCTCTGCCATGTTTGTTTACAACTTTTTTACACTGTTTTCGGTTCAGTGTTTGGGCACATGTGTAAACATGTTTCTGTTTATTAATTGACGTCATAAACATATGTTGCTGGTCACGGTCGCGAAAATACGCCCCAGCACTGCAAATTGTTTGTGTTGTACTACATAAACCGTGCTGTACAACCAGCAGAACGAGTGTGCTATAAAATAGGCATTGGCTCAGCACCATTATGTCTGACTGGTAGGTCATTGTTCTTTCCCCGTGTTTAATAATGACATCTAATGATGGATGATAGATGATGATGATAATCGTGTCTCACCTTTGGCAACGAAATCAGTCTGAAGCCCATGGAAACCCCTTGAGCTGACCCACTGTTGATGAAATTTCCAATGGCAAGAACGTGCTCCAGGACAGACACAAATTTCTCACTGGAGCAAAGCAACTTGCAGGCATCATGGACCCTGTCAATTGTCTGAACATATAAAACAAGTAATCCTCAATTAGACATAGCAGGAATATAATACATGTAATTATAGAACTAGAGATCTATGTCTGTTTACAACAGAACAGTGGTTCTTTAGATATATTATTAAAAAAATGCACTTTTAAGATTACATCGCAAGACCTGTGATCACCTGCCACCTGAGTGCGCTCGAATAATACTTGGTGTCACTCGTCAGATTTTTGAAAAGCCTCCCTTTCCACAGACTCGCATGGTTGAAAGCAAGTTCACATCTTTCACCAATTGCAAAAATTAAGGCACTTCCGGTTTCAACCGGGAAGAAGGGTCAATGCTTTTTCTACCTTATAACACAAATTAAGACCCTGGATTAATACATCAATTCCCGTAAAAAGCAAAATCAGATCTGATGTTCCTATATTATGCTCAGGTCTGACAGATGATGTTTCCATTATTTCACAAATTCCCAGTTGTTCAAAGAATGAGAAGAACAAAGAAAAATACGGGAACCTGACCGAAAAGGCAAACAGTTTTTTAAGCCACAAGAGGGTGCTGTTTGCTTTTCACTAGCAGCAGTGTTTATCAGAAATACAACATCGACTGGTTACAAATATGGAGTTTGTTTAAATTTAAATCTTATATAAAATCACATTGATGGTGTTAATCATGCCTCTTGGTAAATTTGCCTCTACAATGCATGAGAGGTTTGCGGTAACACCATGTGGAAACCTCTCACTTATTGATCTTTCCACCCTGCAAACCTTCAAGTCTCACTCTACAATTCGTGTATAGACTACGTTCCTACTGAATTGTGGGACCCAATGGGACCAACAGTTTTCTCAATACGAGAATTTGAAAAGTGTACTTTCATGATGATGTCACATGCCCTGCGATGACGTTATCTTAACAACACTTGTCAGTGCACATGTTTTCTTTGTAGTCTTGGTTTGTACCAAGTTTAAAGTCAAACAGATGAACTGAAGTTTAACATTTGGAAGTAGAATAAAAATCTAAATTTTAGAAAATCATAAAAAATCAACCGACGACGTCATCATGACGTCACTTTGGGATTCTTTTATATTAGTAACAGTACATACCTACACAACAAGTTTCAAGACAATCGGACTTACTCTTATATGAGTTTTGAAAAATCGCATTTTTGATGATGTCATCGTGATCAGGGGCGGATCCAGGATTTTCAAAAAGGGGGGGCACAAAAACTTTGTGCGCGTTGCACACATAACGAGACTGAAGCGCGAAATCCCTTGCGGGCGGGGTTGAGGGCACTGGAAGCTCTATGATTTTAGATGTTCTCTCCTACATCATGAGTATTTTAAGCCATTAAGAGCAAAATTCACAATGTTTATTTTTTAATTTTAATAATACTTTTTTTTCTATCAAATATAGAATTTAAAGTCACTGTTGATGTTAGCTGAAAATGAACCCCAAAATTAGCAGGTGCTGATAACAGCCCCGGGTGAAAAAAAAATGAAATGTGTTATTTTGCGAGCGAGCGGAGCGAGCGAGCCAAAAAAAGTCATGTTTACTATTAAAACATACATTTCTACCCAGAAATTTGCCTTGCAAACAAAGAAAATTGAAATAAATTGAATTGCATTAGGGGACAGCCTGCCCCAAGCAAGTGCGGATCCAGAACACAATTTTTTCGGGGGGGGGGGGGGGGCAAAAACAAATTTGGTCGTCCAAAAAAGTGGGTCAAAATATTACGGCGTGGGGTTCGGGGCCCGCTTAAGGGCCCCGAAATTTTTTTGGATTCTAGATGCTCTGTGGTGCGATCTGAGGCAATTTCTGACCACTTTAGCCAATGTTTTTTTGAGGAAAAGATGGTGGTGTACTCATTGCTTGCCTTTTTTGCGATGTCATATAAAAAAAACAACTTGCTTTCGTTTGGGGGGGGGGGCATGGCCCCCTTTGGTCCCCCCCGGATCCGCCCTTGGCCCCAAGCAGCCCCTACCCCCACCCCACCCCATTTTGGTTGATGTTATTGTCGTTTCATTTTTTTGGGTTTTTTTTTGCTTCCATCATCATTCATAATATCCTTTTCGTTTTGCCCCTCTCCTGGTATTTTCTTTCTTTTACCATGTAATGTAATTGGTGATTTTAGTTCAATTCGTATTTCTCCATTATCATCCCGTTTGTGTGTGTGTGTGTGTGGGTGTGTGGGTGGGTGGGTTTGTTTATGGTGTAAATCGAGCTCGCGCGGATGTGATTGGCTTCACTTTTGAGTCCCAGTATAATGTGTGGTAACTGCGGTCATTTTATACTTAATTTGTATATACACTTGCATACACTTTAACCACCATTTTTTCCATGTACTTTTGAAGTCTGCAGGCTAAATAATTTAAGACGAAATGAATCGTCTGCATTCTGCAAGTGTTGTCGAATCACTTCAAGAAATGTCAAGGCCTGAGGAAAATCGTTTATTTGTATTTGGGGGGGGGGGGGACTCCGATTTTGTTAAAAATAAAACAAAAAAAACCCAGCTTTTATTTAACGGAAATGCAAACTGCATCCAAATTCCAATTTCCAAAATATAAAAAACTTTGCCAGCACAAATTTCCCGAAAGCGGCAGCATTCCTGAGCTGCCGCTTTCACATACAAGGTTTCAAAATAGTCACATAAAAGATTTCTGGCTACGCAACCGGCAGTCCCAGGCATCACAGGGGAGCCGCCTAGCAACAGTATTTCCCAGCAACCAAGTTGGAATGTGACGGGCATGCAGCCATGCACCTGTGGCTCAGATAGCTAATCACTCCAGTTGCGCGTGGAAGGAAGTCATATTCATGAAAGCAGACGGTCCGTGATGAAAGCAACCAATGGCATATTTATTTGCCGGGGACCGGCTCATTTCATTGGCTGAGATACTATCATCACTGTTTATCATTTAAGAATCTTCCAATTACTGACGGCAAGTTCTCAAAGGCCTTAAAGTTCGGTGGCCTACAGCTGAGCCCAAATGTATATGCTTTGTAACGAACAAGAGTGGCATTGTATCAATTTGAACAATGCGGCTATCAATCATTCTCTGGAAAGGCTTTTCGGAGCTGACATTTTATTTGGGAATTTTTTCCTCAGAGACAGGGGAAAACTTTATGCGAAAAATGTGGGAAACTGAATTGAACGTGAAATTTCACCTCCGCGTTGTGTAGGCTTACATGCACATAGATAAACGATTGGCGAATGATATTCCAAGTCCAAATAATTCATTAAATGTAGGGCTCCCGATGTCTTTTTTTTTCGTAGTACGATTTTATTCTTCGCTTATTTAAAAAAATAAAACTGCATGGCCTACATTATTCTTGTAAATGGTACTCTAGAATATAATTATTTCGGAATACATTTTGAAATTAAGTTTGAAGTCAAAGGGCTGTTGATGATCTTATTCGTATTCCTTTTAAAATTAGGAAAAACTAAGCATAATTCGTATTAAAATTTCCCCTGGAATCTACAAAAGAATTAACTGAGAGTTCAGAACTTAATGGGCTAGGGTGTTTGAAATCGTTTTACTTTAAAAATAAATCGAGAGAACAAGACATACTAAATCGTATTAAAATAACCCCTATTTATTTGATGTCTCTCTCTATCTGAGGCCGGGACAATATAAAAGGGATGACGATTCATTCTTCGTGTATTTAAAAAATTAAACGCATGGCCTACATTATTTTGTGAAAATGTTTTACTCTAGAATATATTTTGGAATATATTTTGACGCTATTATTTGAGGGATGCTGTTAATCCTGATATATTCATTTAAAAATAAGGAAAAACCGAGCATAATTCGTATTAAATTTCCCCTGGAATCTACAAAAGAATTCAATTAGAGTGCAAACTTTAACGGGCTAGGTTTTTTTAATCATTTTGCTTTTAAAAAAATATTTAGAGAACCAGACGTAAATCTCTCTCTGAGGTCGGTGAAAATAAAAAAGGGGATGACGATTTTATTCTTCATTTATTTAAAAAAACCCACATGGCCTACATTATTTTGTGTACCGGTACATGTTCTACTCTAGAATATATTTTGGAATACATTTTGACATGAAGCATTAAATGCAAGTGCTGTATTAAATGTGCCCCCAATTCCAGCTGGGAAATAAAAGTGTCTTATAAAAATATATTCTTGCTTTGAAATAAATTTTGAGACAATGATTGACAGGCTACCTTCAAAACTTATACATTGTATATTTTTGTTTATAATTATGTATGATAGTTATGTTCAAAGCGATTGATTTGATAACCGCCCGTCCGCCCGCCATAATGACTCCTCAAAAACGAAAAAGACAGCCATGTTCACAAAGGAATGTATTTAATGCCCGCCAGCCCTAAGACGACTCGTAAAAAAAAAAAAAAAAACAGTTGCGAAAAGGGGGGGCACGGGCCGGGTGTGCCCCCGTCTGGATCCGCGCCTGATCGTGATGTCACAAATTTCAAAAAATGTTGTGCATGTAACTATTAACTAACAGACCTAATGCAAAAACAATTTTAAATTTAGCATGTTGGGTACGAGAGATATCGTGATTATCTTCAAAAATTCAAAAATTGATATAAAATCACACGATGACGTCATGACGACGTCACCTCCATTTTTACCTATAACACATCCCGGCCTACCTACATTCCGAAAATCAATAAAAAACACATCATATGGTGTCCTCATGATGTCACTTTGCTCTTCATATAACACAACCCGGTACATGTATATACAAAGTCACAACCCAATTGGCATTGTAATTTTCTGGGTACACAGGTACACCATTGAATAATGCACTTAAAGATGACGTCGCATGACTTGTGATGTCATTATGATGTCAGATCCATGAGTCAAGGCACTATATATCACAGATTTTATTAAAACTTGGTAGAAAGTATCTTTTAGTGGTGCTATAGATGAGGTTGAAACCAAATACCGGGAAACCAAATTGTTACGATAGCACAAAGTTCAATGAACTTTGCTGAAAAAAAGGGAATCTGACTTGCCCATAGAATAAATCAC